ATACACACACACATATATGACAGAGAGGTACGCTCCGAATGTAATGCGTTCTATTCATTTTCAGGGAAAATAAGACAGGTACAAGATAGAGTAAGTTTTTCAGTAACAATATACTATTTTCCTCATAGACGCCACCATTGGCTAAGAATTTTGCCAGGGATAAACAAGAACTATTTTGTGCGTTGGCTAACATCTGTGCAGATCTACACAGAACGAGTGTTATTACACATATCGCTTTCGTCACTCATCAAAAGCATTCCCAAAACAACTGTGCTCAAATCCACTGTCTGGTTTCCTTAAATATTAGACAAATGTCGGGACTTACCAGTGCATGTAATTATTTTCCTTATGGAGGAATTAAATGAACCTGCATTGCATGGGTACACACTTTCAAGATAGACGTAAATTTGTCAGTCCATACATTAGTTGGTAACTTCAAGAAAACAAACAAAATAATAATGCTTTCCGTCACATGGCTGAGTATAAGAAAATAAAAAGCATTGCTTTCAGACCTAACCTCGTGTATATATATATATATATATATATATATATATATATATATATATATATATTTATTCGAAAATTATAACATAAATATGTTATAAAATTACTACAAAATAGCCATTTTGTTTCAACACTTCTGGTGTCTTATCAAGTGATGGTGTCCAACACCATCACCTGATAAGATACCAGAATATATATACCTACGTTTGAACCATATAACCTTTAAGCATGCATCATTCTTTTTTTTATTTTCCCATTATCTCCCTCCCTACATTCTAAATTGTATTTACACCCCAAAAATATAATTAAGTTTATATTAACTTTGAGCATTGAATCTGTGTAAATTTAGTGTTCCTCTCATGAGACTCAGTCAAAGAAAAAAAATCAACTGGATTAATTGGTTCATTTACTATTTGTGCTTGACGACTTGGGAAACCATGAAACTTTAAGTTACACTACAAACGTAGGTATATGTGTATTTATTAGTATATACTTCATAGCTCTGTTTAACTAGATTGAGCACTGATTTGTTTGCACCGTAAATTAAATAAATAAAAAATTATTTGCTTATCTATGTATGCCCGTTACGCTAATATCTCGTTAAAAGGTTTATATTCATCTTATTTATTTCACGCATCTATGCATTCTTCTTGTACTGAAATATATATATATATATATATATATATATATATATATATATATATATATATATATATATATATATATATATATATATATATATATCGTTATTTAGTTTATATCCACCTATTTATTTCCCGCATCTATGCAATCTTCTTGTACTGAAATATATATATATATATGTGTGTGTGTGTCTTAATCATGGAATAACCCGAATTTTCAAATATGACGTCCATATTTTCTCCTTGTAGAACATGATTTCAAGTTCATTAGAAACTACGAAAGTATTTGAATATAGCTCTGTTTTATTTTGTGCGCATGTGCGTATACGCATGTCTGTAAAAAATGTGTTCTTTTTTTCCATCGGGCGTACGTTTATATGCACAGAATATAAATTTATCCATCAGATTGTATTTATCCCATTTCTTTCCTCTTCTTTCTCAATATATAAATTAAGTTGAAAGTTTATTTATATTGCAAACAGTCTCTGGTGATTATATTTATGAGTGGCTTGCTCGCTTCATACAGTCTCTGAAGCCATTAACAATGGCGCTTATCTCCTTTCCATTGCATTAAACCGACAAGACAGTCGAGCAAAGAGATAGTGCTACTTCTGCTATTAGAATGTCTTCTTTTATTTTCCTCAAATTCTTTAACGTTTACCTATCTTGTTTTCGCATTTTAAAAGTAGAACAGTATTCATCATTGGTATTTTTTATTACACGCTTTTTTTCAATCTTATTGTTGCCTTTATCACAACTTTTGGTGTTGGTATTGGTTTGGATTGATAAACTCCTCGATCGCTTTGGGTTGATAAACTCCTCGATCGCTTTGGGTTGATAAATTATTCGAAATCCAAAGGAGCATTGGAATAAAATTGGAATAACAAATTATGCCTTCCAAAAGCTAAATAAAATATTAAGAAATTGGAAAATTTCGTTAGAAGAAAAGGAAAAAATACTGAACCGCTATGTAATATCAATTCTCCAATATGGCAGTGAATACTGGACAATCTCCTCTCAGATGAAAATAAGACTTGCGGCAACATAAATGTAATTTTACTGAAAGATGCTGAGAATACTTTGGACTGAATATATGAGTAAAGATGATTTTTTAAGGAAAATGCAAACAAAAGCGACGCTTAAAATCAAAGTCAGAAAGAAACAGAATTTTTAGGAGATAATGGGAGAGAGGTGGCTTAGAGAATTGGACACTTACAGGAGATATTGAAGTCAAGAAGTACAGAGGAAAACAGTGAGTAACCTATTTAACAAGCTTGTGTAAATGGCTGACAGAAGAGGGAATGATCGTCCACATCCTGAGAAGGAGGAGGAGGAAGAAGAAGAAGAAGAGGAAGAAGAAGAAGAAGAAGAAAAAGAAAAAGAAGAATAAGTGATTAAGAAGGGTTTTCTGTGCCATTTTTGTTTTACTACAGTAGTAGTAAAAAATTTAAAAAAATAATTCAAATGAAGCATTTTCGTCATAATTGCTATTATGTTATTATTAGTTTTCCTACTTATCTCTTTCTCTTCAACTAGTTGCCAATCAAGGCGAGAGACCACAGTTTACTTTATTATTTAATTGATTGCTGGGAAAGTAGAAACAGCTTGTTGCATTTCTCAAGGGCTTCAGGGCAAAAGTGAATACCACTTTCGTGTCGTTATCCATACAACACTTGCATCCACATTTTTAAATACAACAGCCTAGTGATACGAATGGCAGAAAAAATAGAGGAGAATCGAGAATTCCATTGTTGAGAACAACCGGAAAATTGGAAAGAATGCTGAGGCGTTGTGAAGAGTTAATCTCCTTCAATTCCCAATGATAAGCACTGTACTTCAAGAGTAAATATTCAAAGATGTGAATTATAATAAGATTGAAAATATTTCAGAGGAAAAATTTTGAAGAATAGAAGTATGAGTGGTCTATAGAGACCAAATGTCGAAGAATAGAATTGTTCAAAAATTTCGAAGAATAGAAATAGGAGTGGTCTATAGAGATCAAATTTTCAAAGAAAAAAAAACAAAAAACTGGGGAAATGATTTATTCCACTCATTTGTGTCTCAATAGAATGAAATGGGTCCTTTTTGAAAATTGGGATGGAGCCGGACAGAAACGTGCCTATTTGAATCAATATCAGCAATGTTTGTGGCTTATTTTAAAAAATTTGTGGTATACGTTGTTTTTTTTATTTTTTATTTTTTATTTTTTATTTTATTTTGGCCACGGGCAAGTCTGGGCATTAGATTTGATTACGCGTTTCGCCTTTCTAGGCTTCATCCAAAAATGAAGGAATTGTGCATTATTTATTATTAATCGTGTATTTGTGTGTATTATTTAAGTATACACACAAATACACACAAACTTCTTTCTTTCGTTTTGGGATCTGATGAAGCCTAGAAAGGTGAAACGCGTAAGCAAATCTAGTTCCAATGAAACGCATTCCATTTGACAAATTTCTTAATATATACGTACTTTATATATATATATAAATATATTTGAAGAAATATAGTTTTAAGGGCTGCTATATTTATGGGATAAAGTGCTCAATATCAGTGATAGAGCGTGTGTAAATCGAAAACCGAAAAGAGTAAATAAAAATATACAGTATAATACAGAAATAATAAAAACAATTAAAATAAATTAATCTAAATTAATCCAAATAAATAACAAACTAACTAACGGATATCGGTAAACTAAGCGTTAGGAAAACAAGTAAAGGTAACCAATCCAAATAAATAAATGAAGTAATAAACAAATTAAAAACTGCTCCCGCCAAAATAATAATTAGAATAAACTACAGTAATCAACCCCAAAATTGAATAAATAGCTTTAATTATCTTCCCAAATCAATACAAAACTATTAAATAAGAGATACAAACAAATTTTTACTACGTTAATAAAACACCGATTAAAATAAAAATAAATATATAAGATAAGAAATAAAAATAAGAACTAAAAATAAAAAATAAATAAAATAGAAGCAAAATAATCTAACCCAAATAAATAAATAAACACATAAACGACTTCCGGTAAAATAACCGCCAAAATAGACTACTTACAATGCACCACTGACCGGTATATATAAATAGCCGAGAAAACAAAAACAACAAAACACGTGGCCTGACGATTGCGTCTAGCATGAAACAAACTGTCGCCTCTAAGTGTTGACTTCTATCTTCACTTTTGTATATATATATATATATATATATATATATATATATATATATATATATATATATATATATATATTCACTTTTATATATATATATATATATATATATATATATATATATTTTTGGTCTCTATAGAGTACTCCTATTTATATTCTTCGAAATTTTTGAACAATATTTACTCTAGAAGTACAGTGGTTATCATTGGGAATTGATTGCGTCTAGCATGAAACAGACTGTCGCCTCTAAGTGTTTACTTCTATGTTCACTTTTGTATAAATATGTATGTTCACTTTTGTATATATATATATATATATATATATATATATATTTATTCTCTATAGAGAACCCCATATTTCTATTCTTCGAAATTTTTTAACAATATTTACTCTAGAAGTACAGTGGTTATCATTGAGAATTGAAGATTAAGTGAATATTGAAGTCAACACTTAGAGGCGACAGTCTGTTTCATGCTAGACGCAATCGTCTGGTGGCCTGACTAAACGTTCTGTTTAATTCAATTAAAAAAAAGACTGAAAAGGAAAGTACAATGTAAAAGAAAATACTGGATAAAGAGGGAAGGGAAGGAAAAAGAAATAAAAAAAAAGAGAGAGAAGAGATCAAAGGGGTAGAAAAATAGACTGAAAAAATGAATAAAGCGGATAACAGAATGAGAAATTGGAATCAAAGAAATGAAAATTGTGAAAAGGAAAACAGTTTTACCAAAAAAGAAAGAAGAACACCATACAAAGAAAGAAAAGGAAGCATGAGAAAAAGACGAGAGAAGAAATGAAACGAAAAACAAATGGAAGACATAACGAACCAAAAAAAAAAAAGAAAGAATAATTGAAAAACAGGAAACAAGGAAATGAAAAATAGAAGAAAACGAAAAAATAAAAGGAAAGAAATCAAAATGAATGAACGATTGCCTGAAGTAATGACTGAATAATGAATGAATGAATGAAGGTCGGTAGGAAGGAAGGAATCAAGAAAGGAAGGGAAGACTGCAGGATAACCCAGTTAAATATAAAATACATCTAACTTGTATTTTGTCTTTATCGACAATGAAGCTCTGATATGTCGCAACAGAACCATGAAAATGTTATTATGTATGTTATGTAAATTCTTTAAGTACAACTTGTTATTGTCAAGTAATGTTAGGCTTATGTTGTCTTACACTTTCTCAACTTTCCATCCACAGGCAGAGTCATCTGCCATTAAAACACATACACACTCAAACTGAGCACTCTCTTTCTCTCACATACACATGCACACAGGTATACACGCTTTCAGACTGACATAAATCCATGAACGTACGTGTACAGTCATAAAGATGCAATCGTATACATTACGCCACGTTAAAGGTAGAAATGTATGTCGCTCTTTAATAGTGAAAACATAAAAAAGTATCACATTTTCAGTTTTATCTTCTGTAGAGCAAAACTTATGGAGTAACCAAAGAACTTTTCGCGAATCAATGTGGGTAACATTTGAGGAACACATGCAAATGATAGAATGTTGTTGGTCTCTGTTGATTTAATCTGTTAGCTTGATTAAGTGAAGAATGAACGTGAAAATAATCTTTGAAAGGATTTCCTAAGTTTAGCCAGAATATATAGTTGCTACGAGTTTTAATAAATACCTATAAACTTGTGCAAATTAATTGAAACAAAACGCATAATTCCGTTATTATTTACTTTTTTCCGTATTTTTTCAGTGAAACTTGATCCAGTGCACATGTCAGTAATTCGTATGTCCATTCAACTAAATCGAAGATTGGTCAGAGATTCTCGACTGGATTTTCCGGCTCGTCTATAGTACTTTGATAGAATGACCACAGATTCTAGATTGGATTTCCCGGCTAGTCTATAGTACTTTGATTTGTTCACTGGGAAAGCTTGCCAGTGTGTTCAGGCAGCATCACAATTTTCGTAAGCTTCCTTGGAGTAACGTCCATCGCAGACAACGGCCGTAGGGCAACTAATCGACAGTCGTGACAATAGTGTCTGGGTGTGACAAAAATCTGATGCAATCACGGATGACGAAATGTTTTTCAAGACCAAACAAATTTCATCATACACCCCGGAAATTGGTTCATATTACTGCACACCGCTGCAGATAACCTAATCTGAGGAAAATAGAAATCGATTACATCTGACACTCCAGTGGGTCTAAAAATTGACCGTATGGTGAAAAAAAGGAAACTGTACAAGGAATACGACAAAAGATGAAGAGAATAAAGAGACAGAATGAAAGATAAAATGAAATATGGTAATGTTAATGGCGAGTTTAAGCGTTTCCAAGCAGGAAACATTCGGCATTAATTAACTGAACTGTTAGTATTACTGTCAGATTAACTTTATAAGATGTTTTTCTTAAGATATTTTTTAAAATCCACAAACTGTTATCACTCATTCTAGTAGTCATGAGGTTTTCCTTCCAAACCTTTAGATTTTGATGATGCGGAATTTTAATAGCTTGATTATAACATTATTTTCTCTTCTAGTTACATGTGCTATACATATTGTTAATATAATTGTAGAAAGTGTTAAACTACTTCCGCTAACAAGGCATTTGATCAAGAGATTGGAGGTTTAGAGGAGGGTGTAACCACCCCTTAATTGCTGTTGTTTCAAAGTCCTCCCTGACTTGGGGTGGTAACACCTGTCAGGGTCCCAGCTATGAGCAAATAGTGAACTCCAAATAAAGCTCAAACCACTAGGAAAATATAAAAATACATTTTTATAGTGAAAAACCAGCAATACATTTTTATATAAAAGAAATTACCAACAATAACTATCTAATACATTTTATTGGTATTGAGTTGGTGCATAATTATCAGGCGCTTTTGGAGGTGAGTTATTTGTTAATAAGAATTGCTGTTTTGTTTACCTATTTAAATAAAAATATTATTTTATTTTCAGGTTATAAAAATGCGTGTCGATAATCATACGCTCTGGAATAATCATTAAGAAATGTTATTGCTGAATTGGTATGTTTTTTTTCATAATAAATATTGTTTAAATAACGTCCGATAATTATGCACCAACCCAATAGTTTAAGGCATACAGTTGCGTTCAAAATAATTAGATTTTGGCATTAAATAACTCATAGATATAACAGTTGTTTATAGGCTGCTATATAGATATAGATATAAGCTGCTATATAGATATAGATATAACAGTTGTTTATAGGCTGCTAAACAAAATGAGCTGACCAAACAACCAACATAAACGAACATTTTTGTGAGATTAATCCATATAATATCCTAGAATTTCTTAAATCAAACTGTGCAAAAAACTGTGTGGGTGGGGGGGTATACTCTAGCCTATTACACCGGTTTGCCTATGCAATACTCTGGTTTCATTATTGAAAAGTATTACATAGCGTATCCCTTTATTTGTTAATGAATGCTGGACAATCTTTCTAGAGATGAAGAGAAAACTAGAAACAAAAGAAATATGGTTCAACAAAAGGATACTGAAAAATTCCATGAACGGATCGAGTAAGCAACGAAGTTGTCTGAAAAAAAATGGCATTATACTCAGAATTAGCAAGAGAGAGGTGGAATTTCTTGGACGCAGAATATGGAAAAAGGACATGGAAAACAACCGTCATTGATCATATTGAAGGCAAGAGAGATAGAGAAAACCACCCCATCATCATCATCATCATTATCATCAACCTTCAACCTCCCCATGGTTGGTCGGAACTCCACTGACAATCCCTTTCCACACTGTTCGCTCCTGTGTTGCTGTCCTAAGATCCCCAAAGTCGAGCACTGCGTCCCAAACTATGGAGTCTGGGAAAGTCAATTTTCGTGGACACTTCCAGAAAGATTCCATAGGAGTAAGGATGAGACGATTTCCCTGTCCGCTCGATAGCAGTGACCAGTCAACTTATGTTATGGATTTTTATAAGTAGATTTGTATATGTTCCATCCAATCGTCTTTCAAGACGAGCAGATAATGTCCAAGTTTATGATCCATACATTAGGACTTGTTCTATCAATGTTAAAAAAGTTTGAACTTTTTAGGAGGATGTATAGCGGAAGTGGGGCCTGAGCCTTAGCAAAAGGTATAAAAACTGCTAAGGGCTACAAGTGATAGAAATTTTGGAGAAGCCATGATCGCACATGTCCTGAAGGCATGCAACAAGAAGAAGAAGAAATGTAATTAGAATAAATCTGTTTATCGGTGCTGGTATGCTTCGTTACACAGTTAAAAAAGTTATCATTACACACAATTCCCAAGGATAATATATTGGCAAGTGGTTATGTCTTGAGATTCATTGCTTTAAGGATTGTTTAAATGTTCTAGACAGAGTTTGGTCATAGATCATATGTTGAAGTTACACATTGTAGTGTGCATATAAATTTGAAAATACATGGCTTATTCTTTTTTATCGATTAGGCAAGAGTTAAGGCATAAAAAGTAACTTTCTTGACTAAATGACTGATATTATAGCCACTAACAATATTAATAAACTGGATTGTTGAATGGACAATCCGACTTCATTTTCATACGCCAACTGTAACGTCTATTTCCTCACCAATTCCCTTAAGCTCCTCCCACTCTCGATATGGGTTAAATAGCAGGGTACACTGATCTCTATATCCTTGGGTGGTAGTCAGATTAGGAGAAGGACTCCGTCAGTCATGCCATTACCTTTACAACAGTCAGATTAAACCAAGAATGTTGCTGCCATATCTGGACTGGAGCTTCTCAATCCTCATATTCTAGTCTTCAGAGATTTCAAAATCGTTTATGCGGTCTTGTGGGGGGAATTTATTCGCCAATCTGCAGCCTCTTTTCCCCAAACGTAACATTAATAGCTATCTATAAATATATAAATAGCTATCTATCTATCTATCTAGATAGCTAGCTAGCTAACTAGCTAGCTAGATAGATAGATAGATAGAACCATGTTTCGAAACTCACCAATTCGATTTAACAAAGAGCTGACCTTGACGATATCCTGAAAACCATACCACACGTTGACCCATCCCTTGGGAATAATAATTGATCGAAACAATTGTGCGGAATCCGTCGATGTCAAAAGGTCTCCTGACCGAGGGTTTGATCAAAACTTTTAATTACACCAGATTATGCACACACTTGTAGAAACTGTAACTAACGTCTTATCCAGGGCCGGTGCAAGGATCGCATAGGCCAACTCCGAATCTATGATACGGGGCTCCTCACTAAAACATCTTAATTATCATAAGATAGTATTCATATAAAATACAATTTTTATTTGCAACCTAAATACATACAATAATAGATCATATGCAATATAGACGAACAATTCAACTAGTAAAATTGAAAATAAATACAATACATCTAAATACAAATTAGAGATATGTCATAATAGATCTTTACATCCTAAATAAATCATCAATGTTATTTAGCAATTTCTAACATCAACTTTACTTTTTTCTTCATAAAAAAGTTGAATAATTTTAACACATTCAATAATATGGATAAAGGAATAGTCAGTTTTATATAGTGTTCTTTCTACACCTAGCATGAACAAAACAAATTCAAGGATTTGGACAAAAAAAGAAAAGAACTCAAAATAGCGTCAAAATCCTTTAATAGTCATTTGTATTAAGATTAATTTGTAACATATATAAATGTAAGTAGAAAAAATGTTGACGAAGATTGACCGTAAAAGAGCAGCCAGTCATTTACTATATTTAGATGGATTGTTATGAACAGATATGATAGATAGATATGAACAGAATAGGATAGATAGATAGATAGAGACATAGATAAATAGATAGATAGATAGAAACAAACTGAGATTGATAGATGTATATGAAAAGAATAGGATAGATAGGTAGATAGATATGAACAGAATATGATAAATTGATAGATAGATAGATATGTAAGAAAAGAATAGGATAGATAGATAGATAGATAGATAAATCAGTAAACATCACATCTTAGAAAAAAGTATAATTCAGACTAAGCTAAACAGATAGAAACAGACTGAGATTAACTGGTAAAGAAATAAGATAGATAATTTGAAAGCCTGTGATTTTCAGACATACAAAGTAATGACATATTCAGACATATTCAGTAATAGTTTCCGACTTCCAATGTTAACTAGACAAGCATATTTTAATCTACCGAAGTCATTAAAATTTCGAGACACTTATCATTTCAAAATTCTATTCTCCTGGTGTCAATGCTCGGAATTTTGGCGCCAAAATCTTTGGCGCCAATAACCAATGGGAAAGCGACGCACTCCGAATGCCAACGAAGCCGTTTGATTGGCTGTTGTTCTCGTCCGGAAGCAATGTCTCTGGAGGTTAGCAAAACCTTTATTTGATATTAATGTTCCCGATACATCATTATTAATTGACGGGTTCTCTTTAACTTGATACATTGATTTTAACCCTAAGGCGTGGGCACTGAGCCGATTGTATTCATGTATTGGAATACTGTAGTCTTTGGTATGGATACGTCAGAGTGTACTTGTGGAAAGAAATGTACACATATGTATGTAAGCATTTGCTTGTGCGTAGACGTGTAAGTGCTCTTTGTTGTTATTGTATACGAGATTTCCGTTAGAAATATTTGTATCAATGTGTATTATTTCAGTGTTAAATTTAAAGTAAATAAAAGAAGCAGAACATGTTTTTTGCAGTAAACTTCTGGTATAAAACTGGTTTTGAGATGGTCTTTTAAAACATTGTAATCGATCGTACATTGAATATTTTTACCATATCTGGTCTAGTACTCCTATATATCACGAAATTCTTGACAAAATTCCAAGAAGAGTCTGTAATATAATCAATTCTGACATGTCGATTTTCTCACCTACATGACATGGTTTCCGTCTGTGTTTTTTACAAATACATTCATGGAAATTATTCTAATGATCTCTCTCTGTTGTCTGGACTGTATGAATTTAAGCGTGTTACTAGAATGGTAACTAGATCCCACCATCTTACTGTGAAACTTACAATCGACCGTATCTTCTATTCTAATAGTTTCTTTTCTCACACTTCTCGTCTGTGGAACTCCTTTCCGATTTCTTGCTTCCCTGCCATCCACAATCTTCAAAAATTTAAATGCAACGCTAATCGACATCTTCTGTCTTCCCGAAACCTGTTCTTTTATTTCCCTTTCTTACTAAAGTATTCTCTTCCACTCCCAATAAACCCCATGCGTCATAGTGGCATTATCGCCTTACTTGGGGTGAAAAGATTAAAAGAAAATTAGCGTTGTATGCGAGTGTGAGCATATAAGTTTTACGGAGAATAAAGTCGCATTTTGGTAAATTCAATGAGAATCCTTTGAAATATAGTATCCCTGTTCAACTAGTTTTTTTTTCCTTTTAGTATCAGAAACTTTAAAAAGAGAGGAAAGATTAATTTGGAATTAACAGAATATTTTTTAGTCCAAGCCCAGATTCATTCAACAAGGAATTAAGAACAAAGAAGTAAGATGACGAATTTTATACTGGACTTTTGTTATTGTTAATAATGAACACTGTTAGTTACATGACTTACATTCGGGCAATTTTCTTCATCTTTGCTTTTTTAAAACCATTTCACTCAAGCATGGCAATAAAGTCACTAACAGGCAAAGGTTTACTAAAAGAATATGAGAAAAAGAAAACGTTAATGAGAAAGAAGAAAAGATCAAAAATTAAGAAGACGATTGGCATTGCATTTAAATTTTTGAAAATCATAGTTGACAGGAAATCAAGAAGCCGGAAGAGAGTTCCACAGCTGAGAAGTGCGATAGACGAAACTGTTAGCATAGAACTTACGGTTACATCTAGCCATTTCAGCTGTAAAGTAATGAGACATTGCGACCAATCTCGTACAACGTTTAAATCCATAAATTCAAGGTACCATAGAGAAAAGTTTATCATAACAATTTCCATGAAAGTATTTATAGAAAGAAGCTACATTATGGAGGTGGAAAAGTGACTAAAGGCGAGATACCAAGTCATTTCAGATTCTTCTTTCGATTTTATCAGAAATAGCCGGGAGAGAGTTCCACAAGCAATAATTTATTATCAAAACGAAAATGAGGAGAATTGTCCGAATGTAAATCAGGAAAATGATAACTCATCATCCCAAAAATTCAGGGTGAAAAGATTATTATGTTATTGACATAAGCACTTAACTTTTGTTCTATCTTAGCTAAATTTTAACTATCAAAACAAATGGATAAATGATAAAAAAAATGAACTTACATCATCACTTTCCGATGTTTATTTACTGAAAAAAAGTTTGAACAAAGTAACTATAAACAATTTTTTTAATATCTTCTGTCAGCCGCAATGATGGAGAAAGCATTACCTCGAACCATGGCCAGTGAGACACGCTGCAAGAGCCACTGTTTCGCGAGGCTCGTCCCTTAATCGAGACGCAATCGTGCCAATTCTCCGAAGGAACGCCATCGAACCAGGGACAATAACCCCAGAAGTCTCCACTGCCACAGGAGTAAAAAAAAGTCTATCAGCAAGAGAAGAATATTTAACTATTATTTTAATCTCTCGACGAGGGAACCCGGCTCAACCGCGGACCTGATCAAATTACCGGCCGAAAATGTATCCGCACAGGTCGCATCCCAAATCAACGACTTCCTCATTTTAAAAGGAAAAATGGTAATGCCATCTGGCCGCTTTCCATCACCACGGTCGGAGCCTACGGGTTTGTTTTCGGAAGGGAACCCAGCTGCATCCAAACCTCTTCTGATGATGTCGTTTATTGCTGCATTCCGTGGAATCAATTTTCGACGTTACATCACATACCTCTCGACATTGAATTCTTAACAATAATATAAGTAAAATATTTTCAAAGAAATTTGTACTAATTTGTACTGTATTATTATATAGGTCCAGGGCTTATGAGTCGTAGTTGCAGAAAGTACATCATACTCAAGCCCAGAGATCTAAGAGAGCCACAAATGTCCTGGTATCTCAGAAATTCAATGAATTATTAAATGAGCGTTAGAGAAAAAAAATGAAATGAAGGACTTAAGAGTGGCCAGTTAATAATATTTGTAAGTCATTTTGAATAATTTTATAAATTGCTTGTAATCATAAATCCACAGAGAAATATCAGAGGCTGTAAATATTTGAATTTTAAATTGGTTTGTATTGTAAAATGACGAGACGAAAAACTATACATTTTAGGCAATTATATTGAATTAACTGATAGGTCTACTGCTAGGAAAGTTGGTTTGCTGCGCTGTGGTAGACAAACTTTCGCACCAGAATCTTACGCATTTATGCCTACCATTCGTCTTTGCTTTGAATACTGCTGCCACATCTGGTCTAGTGCTCCTGAAAATCCAAAGAATAGGTAATGTCATTGTTCCTGACCTGGCAACACACTTTCAGTCTCTTCCTCACCGACGTAGTTTCCCTGTGTCTTTTCTCTGAATACTCTCATGTTAATTGTTCTGATTGAACTTTCCTCTATGGTACTTAGACTTTATGAATTTAAGCGTAGTACTAGATTGGCGACAAGGTCGCATCATTTTACAGTTGAACTGGTTAGATGCAACCGTAGATTCTATGCTAACAGTTTCGTCTATCGCACTTCTCGCTTGTGGAACTTTCTTTCGGTTTCTTGCTTCCCAGACCACTTTGATCATCAAAAATTCAAATACAATATTATCTACTGTTTTCTTAACACTTCTTTTTTTTATTAGCCACTCTCATTAACAGTGTTTTTATTTTCCATATTCTCCAACAATTAGTAACTTGTTGCATCTTAGTGACTTTATTGCCTTGCTTGGGGTGAAATATAATATAAAGTTACACGGCAACGTGTTTACAACGTTACTCGGTAACGATGCGGGTATGTTGTCGCGACGTCATTTTGTAAGCTAGGTCTTCTCTTAGTCTGGTGTAATTAAAAGTTTTGATCAAACCCTCGGTCAGGAGACCTTTTGACATCGACGGATTCCTCACAATTGTCTTCTCTTAGTCTGGCTGCACTACCAAGGCTAAAGAGTTCCATCTTCCCTATTACTTACAAGGGTTTGGATAGTGATGTTTTGCATGTCAAAGGAGCCCAGTCTGCCATGCCATTTGAAACTCCGTCCTGGGTATGACGATAAACTACATCCTCGTCCTGGGTAAGACGATAAACTACACTCAACAGCAAGGCCTCTGATCAGGAGATTTGAGGAGTGCGGAACCACCTCTTAATTGCTGGAGTTTCCAGGCTCACCCTGGCTCGGGTGGTAGCACCTGTTAGGGTCCTAGCCATGGGGAAATAGTTAACCCCGAAACTGGGGTCAAAACTCTATGAAAGTGTAAAAACTGGTTTTAATACCAGAAATACTGTGTAAAAAATATTACCAGCAATACATTTTTTAAAAAAAATTACCAGCTATACATTTATGAAAAACAAATATTAACAGCGAATGAAAAATATTAACAGAAATAGATTTTTGAAGGTTTAACCAGAAATAGATTTTTCGAAGGAAAAAATATTACCAGAAATAGATTTTTGAAGGAAAAATATTACCAGAAATAGATTTTTTTGAAGGAAAAATATTACCAGAAATAGATTTTTGAAGGAAAAAATATTACCAGAAATAGATTTTTGGAAAAAAATATTACCGACAATGAAAATTTTGTCGGCATTAAATAACCCATTGTGGTTGATATGCTATAAAACAAAACAAACCAAACCATTTGAAATTTAACTGGATTTGATTTACTTGTTTTAGTTTAGTGGCATATCAACTGTCAGTTATTTAATACAAAAATCTACATATTTTACGCAATTTTAAGGCTTTAACTAAAGATATTTTGTACATCATTTTAAGGTCTAACTGGCGAAAGATATATTGATATCTTTTCCAAGTGTATTAGTGTGAAGTCAATTAAACAGTTTGAATTTGAACTCGGCACACTGACTACAATTTCTGTGATGATAACCATTACGATACACCTATA